TATATTTTGACAGTTGATTTTGCAATGCGGTCCAAAAAGAGTTTTGTAGGTTGCAAAAAACAGACCATTCTTGTAGGTAATCGACTCAATTGGGAAATTCATTGGTTAAAAAATTTGCAAAATTGAAAAATTTGAACCAAAAAATGTATCACTTGCAATTGTTTAATTGAAAGAACAGATTTATTTAGCAAAGAGGATTAAGTTTATAGTATATACCAAGCGGTACTAAGAAGTATTGCAAATATTTATGCCCTTTTAATACAATCTAGAGATTAGGTTTTATCACTAATAAACTTGTTAAAAAAGGAATTTTTTGGATTGTATAATGTTCACCATATTCATTATAAAATTGTATTTAATGGCTATAATTATTTGGATTTATTAGTTCTTCAGTGATCAATATGCTCATTTTATAATACAGCTCAATATTATACATATATCTAAAAGATTCTTTTTATCAAAAAATAGCCCAGTAATGTTTTTTGACAAAAAGATCCAGAAAGAAATTTTAAGCAAAATCGATATTAAAAATAAAACAATTTTAAAGACAGATAGAGAAAAGGCTAATTATGGTGTCAACATATTGAATGCTTTAACTGACAAAATATTGAAAGAATGTATTCCTAATAAAACCATTAGCACTATTTTGGCAATGTCACACTCGAAAAACTTCTCTGTTCAGTTGATAAATCAAAACCCCACTGAATCCATACATAGCAAAAGTAATGCGTTGGTAAATAATAAAGGGGCCCACAATGATTTGGTCAATTTTGCTGCAGAAATAATTAAATTACTGCGAAATTTTCAAATTATCAATTTGGATAAGCTAATTTTAAGGATTTGCAATAAATATTATTCTGAAAACCTATTTAGTTTGGTTGAGAATAGAGTCGATCCAGAAAATGCAGCCGCAATATGTGTAATAAAGTTCAAGCACTTGGGAATTTTTGATCATAATATTAGAAAAATCTATAAAACTTTGAATGGAAGTATTAAAACAATCGTTGAAGGAGTATTTGGAGAGTTATTATATGATAGGCGCTGTGTCTCTGAGAATGAGCAAAATAAGCATCTACAAAACAATTTTAACACTCATATATCCTTTTCAGAGCCTGAAACACTATGTAGTGATGACTATAATAGTGAAAAGAATAAGAATGGCCATGGAGTTGTGCAGATAAAGTATAAGACATTCGTTACCAAGCTAACCAAAGATATTTGTGAATCAGAATACTTTGATTTACCACAAATTTGGAATGAATATGAAATATTCAAGAAAAATTTCTGGAAAATTAAAAATCGTGTTATTAATGAATTGAGGGTGAATTTTAATAATGGAAGTAGTGGGTCTTATATAACTTCCACAGGTAAGGAAGGAGATACTAAAAGAAGGGCAAAACCACATCTGTCTCATCTTAGCGATGGAGATTTTGACAGTTACGATCGTATTATTATTTCAAAGGCAAATGACTGTTTAAATCTTTTCAATTCAGGAATTGACTTTCTCAACAGAAGCAAGCTTAAAATAGCCAAAAAGTGTTTTACAGATATTCTTACATCTGGTTTGATCCTCGAAATTGCATATCACATACTATCACTAATACATTTTTTTCAATTAGAATATTTTGAAGCAAAATATTATATACAACTGGGAATTAAATATGCCTACACACGAAGATGTGGAAATTTAAATCATTTTCTAAATCTTCTGCTTTTCATAGAACGATTCGGAAATTGTCCAGGGATATTTTCCAGTATTAGACTGAATGTGTTCAAAAGAAACCTCAACATAGATCAAATAATTAGTTTTAGAGACACTGGGATGATTTTTACGAATAGTTCAAAACACGACAACAGAATACAACAGTGTGCAACAGAATTTGAAGATTATGCTTGTAAAGACAAACTAGAATCATTGAATAGTGATACAGCTTTGTGCAAAATATTTGAGAATAAGTTTTTAGTTTCATTGATTTTAAATAGCGACATTTTCTATTCACAAATTATGAATTTTACACAATTTAGAACTAAGCTACAATTTCAACACATGCTTAAGGAAATCCGATTGAAATATTTGAATTACTCTATTTTAACCATATACACACACAATAGCAAACTCCTTGTCAATAATTTAAAATGTTCCATTGAAGTAATTTCTGATTGGAATTCAATCAAACTCAGGCATGATGAGATAATGAGTAGAAACACAGATGTTTTAAGGACGATGGCCAGAAATAAAAGTGAATGGTGGGATAATAGAAATAGACTTGATAAGGAATTAGAAACTCTTGTCTCTGCTGTGAGAGGAGAATTTCATAAAAAAATTCCAGTATTAAAAGATCGAATAATATTGATCCTTGATGGTTCTATAAATTCTTTTCCGTTTGAAATCATATTCCAGAACAAAATTGTTTCAAGAGTTTTATCGTTGGAATTTTTATTCCACTATTCCCCTAACCAATCAATTGCTCCTACTTTGGATTCCTTTTTATGTGATGAAGTAGACAAAAAACCTCTAGACCACGGCTCAATTTTCTATCTTCTTGATCCTGGATGTAATCTAGAACGTACAAGGTTACGTATCCTAACCTATTTGAGAAAACGAGGAATTGCCAATGGAACTGTAGGTCGTGAATTGAACGACACAGAAAAAGCCACTCTAGGTATGTATGATACTCTAATGTACTTTGGCCATGGATCTGGTAAAAAGTACTTTGATATTTGTACATCAAAGCCCTCTAAACTATTTCTTTTTGGTTGCAGTTCTGTAAAAATGTTGTATGTTCCAAACTATCAACTCAATGGAATGGTCTTCCAGAAATTCAAAAATGAGAGTCACAACAAGATAATTGTGGGGAATCTCTGGGATATTACAGACAGGGATTTGGATAATCTGACTGAAAAATTTTTGGACGACAATTTGACGATTCCATCCAGCTTTGGCTATAGAATGGAATACTATAGAGAGTTTTGCAGGCTAAAATATTTAAATGGTGCTGCTTTTGTAATATATGGGATTTTATAAATCAAAAATAAATTTCTTTTGCTTCTAATTGTTTATTTCAATGCTACACATTATGGAAAAATTTTAATTTAAGTACACTTATTTATATGAGTTCGTTTTTTCCCATAAATGTCTAATTTTATTATTGTCTGCACAGAGATTGCAGAAAGAGTCATTGATCTGTATAAGCAGAACAAGAAGATAAACGTATCAAAGATTATGAAGGATGTATGTAGAGAAAACAATTTAAGTGTAATTCCTAGAATCAAAGATATCATCAGCTGTATCCCAAACGAATACGATCATTTAATATCTCAGCTGAGAGTAAAGCCGATCAGAACTGCATCTGGAGTGGCTGTGGTAGCTGTCATGTGCAAGCCTCACAGATGCCCTCACATTGCTCTAACCGGGAACATTTGTGTATATTGCCCAGGTGGTCCAGATTCCTCTTTTGAATATTCTACACAGAGTTATACTGGTTATGAACCAACAAGTATGAGAGCAATAAGAGCCCGTTATGATCCATTTGAGCAAGCCAGGGAACGGCTTATTCAACTGAAGAACTTAGGCCATTCAACGGATAAGGTAGAGTATATAATTATGGGAGGAACATTTATGTCCCTCTCAGACTCTTATAGAAACAAGTTTATTATTGATCTCCATGATGCACTCAGTGGCCACAAATCTACAAGTGTGGAAGAAGCAATAGCAGTTTCAGCAGAGAGTAAACAGAAATGTGTTGGGATCACAATTGAAACTCGCCCAGATTTCTGTGTGAGGCCTCATCTGACCAAAATGTTGTCCTACGGTTGCACTCGTATAGAAATCGGAGTACAGAGTGTTTATGAAGATGTTGCAAGGGATACAAACCGAGGACACACAGTTCAAAGTGTCTGTGATTGTTTCTGCCTTTCTAAAGATGCGGGATATAAAATCGTGGCACATATGATGCCAAATTTACCAAACGTTGATAAAAAGAGAGATTTGGCACAATTTAAAGAATATTTTGACAATCCAAAGTTTAGAAGCGATGGTTTAAAAATCTATCCAACATTGGTAATTAGAGACACTGGTTTGTATGAGTTATGGAAGGCAAAAAAGTACAGAAATTACTCTCCTGATGAATTGATAGATTTTATAGCTCAAATCATGAGTTATGTGCCACCGTGGACAAGAATTTATAGGGTCCAAAGAGACATTCCAATGACATTAGTAAGCTCTGGTATAGAACATGGAAATATCAGGGAATTAGCCCTTGCTAGGATGAAAGACTACAACACCCGCTGTAGAGATGTCCGCACCAGGGAGGTTGGAATCAAAGGAATTCATGAAAATGTCAGTCCTGATGAGGTTGAAATGGTCAGAAGAGATTATGTAGCTAATGAAGGATGGGAAACCTTTCTGAGTTATGAAGATGTGAAGCAGGATATCTTGATTGGGTTATTAAGATTAAGAAAGTGTGCAGGGAATACGTTTAGGAAAGAATTGAAGAACATAGTAGACCAAACTCCAGAACTAGATGTCCACGAGTGTGTCAGTAATAGAAATGCATCGATTATTAGAGAGTTGCATGTTTATGGAAGTGCAGTTAAGATTGATCAGGACAAAGAGGGGAGATTCCAGCATAAAGGGTTTGGTGCAATGCTCATTCAGGCAGCCGAAGAAATTGCAAAGACTGAGCATGGTTCAGCCAAATTGGCCATTATCTCTGGAGTTGGGACTAGAAACTATTACTCCAGGTTTGGCTATACACTTGAAGGACCATATATGGTAAAGTATTTAAACTAATAAAAATAAATTAATAATTAGGATTTGAATGAAAAATACTTAAAAGTGTTAAATAGGATTTAATAACGTCTTTGTCCACTTCGATTTCCGGAATATCCACCACGACTATTACCATAGCCACGGCCAGAATATCTTGAGGATGTAGATCCTCTGGAATTTCTTTCTGCAATATCTTCTAACTCTTTTGGAATTGTCACTTCTGATTTTCTCAAGAGTTGTACAAATTTCCTGGCATTTCCAAAATCTTCTTCGGGTGAAAACATTGTAAACGAAAGCCCCTCAGTAGCAGATCCTCTAGCAGTTCTTCCCACTCTATGAACATAGTCTTCAATGTCCTTAGGCAAGTCATAGTTTATCACCAACTTAACATCTTTAATGTCAAGTCCTCTTGCTGCAACATCTGTTGCAATTAAAATATTCTTTCTTCCACTTCTAAACTGTTCAATTACGTTATCTCTGGCTGCTTGAGACTTATTTCCATGAATAGCCACTGCATTGAATCCTTTGTCCTGCAATGTATATTCCAGTTTGTCACAAGTACTTTTCATGTTTGAAAAAATAATACATCTATCCTGCTTTTTGTCTTGAAGTAAGAAAAGCAACTTAGCTTGCTTATCATGACAGCTGACTACTTCGACGGCCTGTTTAATCTTCTTGTTAACTGCCAACTCTCCATCTCCGATTGTCACCTGAATATAATCCCTCGACGCATAGTTATTAGCAAGCTGTCTAACTTCTTTTGGCCATGTGGCACTCCACATGAGTGTCTGTCTATTTTTATGAGTTTTTGGAATAATATCATTAAGCTGGGGTTCAAAACCCATATCAAGCATTCGATCTGCTTCATCTAAAACCAAAAATGTAACCCTTCCCAAAGGACAGAATCCTTGATTGTGTAAATCAATCAACCTACCTGGTGTTGCAACCAATATCTCAACTCCTTTGGACAATGCCTTCTTCTGTGGAACAATATTTGCTCCTCCATAAACACAGAGGGATTTCATTCCAAATATTGTCGCATAATCATGGCAGACAACTTCAATTTGGCAAACTAACTCTCTGGTAGGTGCTAATATTAAAACAATAGGCCCATCACCTTCACGAAGTCGAGGCTGAGCCTTTGCATGGATTAAGGCTGGTAATACAAACGAAAGTGTTTTACCAGAACCAGTATCGGCTATTCCAACCATATCACGTCCACTGAGAGCCATAGGCCATCCTTGGGCCTGAATAGGAGTGGGAACAGTGAATTTCATCTGTGCAAACTTGTCAATAACTTGTGTTGGAAATCCGAGTGAAACAAAATCTGCAACTGGAAGAGGTATATCATTTCCCTGGATCTTCATTTTACACTCCTCACGTAATGCTTGAGCATCCTCGTTAGATAATGTGTTCGCTGGAACGTAAAAATTTTTTGTAAAATCATCAATCGGATCGTTATTTGCATTAAAGGGTTTAATATCATCGACTGGTCGGGAGTTCCTGCCACCATAGCTTCCTCTACTACTACCTCGTCTATCATTACCATATCCACCTCTACGATCAGATTTATAACCATCTCCATAATACATGGGGTAAATTTTGAAAAAATTTAAAAATTTTAAGTGAAAATTAAAAAACTACCTACAAGTGCGAATCAGTAGCTGCAATGTGATTAGAAAAAGAAATGAATGGATTTATTCATAATGACAGTATATTTGAGTGAGAGTTAGCATATACAACCTACACATTTCAATACCATACATACCATTCAATGTTTGGAAAGTTTCACTTCTTTGTATATTATCATTTATCAACTACCAAAGTCATTCATTATCTAAATCAAATTCAAAATCTGGTCCTTCATTATGATTTTCCTCTAATATTCCTAAATCAAATTTGAACATTGATTCATCTTTTATTTCAAAAATATTTTCAAACATTGGAACAGTCTTCGAATTATCAAATATTTTTTGGAAATTTGGAACCACATTTGTGTTACTAAAATCAGAATTAGCTCCTATGTCTAATCCCCAATCTGGTGTCAGCTTCTTTTTTGAATAAACTTTGGGCTTGGTGGTATTATTTTGTAGATTTTCACTAAATCCAAAAGATTGTTTTACAGGATATTCTAAATTATCATCATTTAAAACAGATATATTCTCATCACTAATATTTCTTTTGTTCAAACTATCTGCTGCCATTTTGTCTCCATCATTATTAACATCTATTCGATCTGAATTTTGTTCCTGTGCTATAGTATTTAAACTAGAATCATCCAAGATGTTTGCATGGAATTGGTTTCCATTTAGGCGTAACTGTTTCTTTTCCCTATTGTTATCCTCCTCATCCCTTAAATAATTTGTAACTCCATGCGACATATCCAATTGACTATACTGATGAGGTGAATATATCTCCAAACTATTGTCTGGTTCATCATACTTCTTTTCATTTATTCTCAATCTTTTTCTACGTTTTTCTTCATATTCAACTGCAGCACTCAATATTTCATCCGTAATCCTACTTGGAATTTCATGCTCCTTTTTCTTTTTCAGTGGAGCCATATTTTTACCAGGTCTATTTTCGTAATGAAGAATTTCCTGACTACTATCATCTATTTCATGAAGTCGAGTTTGCAACTCATTAACTATTGAATCTGCAATAGTATTGATAGTCAAAGTATTAGTTGTTTGTTTTCTATTTTCAATGTTGAGAGTAGAATAATGATCATAAACCCCATGATCTATGTGGTGTTTGAGAAGCGTGTTGTATTCTGGCCTGATATCTAAGGCATCTGCGAGTAATTCTGTGAATTGCTTTAAATCCTCCTCAGTAAAACTACCACTTTTCCCCAATAAGAATGCTATCAATTTTTCATACATGGGCTAAAATTAAGAGGTAGTATTTGGAAATAGTAAAACATTATGGCATGCTGATAAGGGCACTTACAGATTTACAAGAAATGCTGACTGCAATTCTAGCGTATCAAGCCGTCTTTTCCACTATCTATCTTTTCTTAAAAATTTTGAAAAATTTATTCCCCAAATGGCCAGAATGCACTCCAGCGGAAAGGGAAAGAGTCTTTCAATGAAACCATTCAGCACTTATGTTCCAACAAATATGGTAAAGCCTGTTGCAGAAATGGAGAAGGATATTATTCATTTATCAAAGAGAGGAAATGGGGCTTCTGTAATTGGAAAGGTTCTTAGAGATAGTTATGGTGTAGGTAATGTAAAGGATGTTCTTGGCATGAATTTAGTCGCATTTCTAAGGAAAAACAATGCAGCTCCAGCTATTCCAGAAGATCTAAATGCATTAATGGATAAGGCCAATGAAATCAGACACCATTTGGTATCTCATAGAAACGATAACAACTCTAAGTATAGATTGAATCTAGTAAACTCCAGATTGCATAGATTATTGAGATACTATAAGGAAACTGGGGTAGTAGCTGCCAATTGGAAACCAAAGAAAATTTAAATAAATATCAATTTAATATTTTAATCCATGATGATTTAAAGTAAATATCATTAAAAGTAGCCTGTGTTGTTAACCTCAGGATCCTGCCAATATGAGAGGCTTTGATTGGCCAGAACTTTCTCAATCATTTATTTCATTAACAAAAATACTTAAAAATTCCTTTTTTGTTGTTAATTGTTTCTTCAATAACTTCTGTCTGATTGTCTCTATCAATATTAAAGTGTGGATTGTTATCATCAGTCCTTGCTGATTTAACAACATTGTCAGGACATTCTGAGAGATTGCTTTTGGTGTTTTTCATATTATCTGATTTCAATGAAAGATTTTCAAGCGGAATATTTATGTGAGTATCATTGGATTCTTGCTGTTTATCGTAACTTTTTCGATATTTATCATCAATTTCAGTTTTTGTTTCCAACTTTGGTGTTTGTTTTTCTCCAACAGATCTTTGAATCTCATTTTCAATCTTCATATCAGCTTCTTGTTCATTGGAATTCCCTAACTTATTGTGCAATTCTAAATCTAATGTATCCAGGGATATTGAAGAATTATTGTCTATCTTATCTATCACAAAATCATCATTTTTGGATTCATGAGTTTCATTGTTTGGCATTAAATATCCATCTTTATCTGGATGAATCTTTTCTTTTTTTCCATTATTGACGATAATCTGCTCTGAAAAGTCATTTTGAACTACATCTATTTGGTTTAGGAATGTATCCAAAGGTGCTTTGATGCTTTTGACAGTACTAGGTAAAAGAGAGGGTGAAATATCTATAGTCATAACAGCTGAAGTATCATCCAACACTTGTGCCTCCTCATTTACTCTGTCCTTCTCGGAAGCTTCTTCAAATTCTATGTCTCTAGAGCTTTTATTCCGCAACGAGCAACAATCTAGCGTAGAATCATCATCTTCTAACTCATCTATGCATTCTCGCTCTGTTCTTAAAAGCACCATATTTTTGGCAAATACTTCATTATATTGATTCTCTAATGTTTCTACTATTTTCTCCACCATAGTTTCTGATGTTTCCATACTGGAATTTTTTAATGTTCCTTCTAATTTCTCGTTAATTGGATATTCATAGTTTTTGTCTGGAAGGGAAGCATTCAACTCCTCTGAAATTTCTGGAAAATTGCCCTCAAGAGTTTGTTCATTGTTTGTTGCTTGTGGCATCTTGTTCATCGTGTGAATCTTTATTTTCTCCATAGAATCTAACAAATCTACCCAAAAGTCTAAAATTGACTCACAAACAAACGGATAAGACCAGTTAATTCCATCAACATGTCCAGGTAGACAGAATGGATGTTTTACTGCAGTAAATTTTCTAATATTCAGTATTCCATTGTCGTATTCTACAATTCCTCCATAGTTTTGATAGGAGTCACAGTAGTTAGGGGCACTGAATACAGTACAGACAGTAGGATGGTTATTGTACTCATCTAAGAGAGCATATCCCTCTTCCTGAACTTCATGGCCTCTAATGACTACTTTCAGCTTATTTCTATCAAGAAAACTAATGACATCTTTTTTCGAATAGAATGAGGAGCATCTTCTGCGATCATTATAGGAAAATGATTCTCCGTACCTGAAGTTGGGATTTGGGTCTGACCAGAGGATATCGCAAAAAAGCCCCTCATAGACAACCTCTCTAAACCTGTCAATCTGATTTATTTCTAATATTAAATTCATATGCTTTGATATTCCACCATGACAACAGTATGCACTATTTTGGATACAAGCAGCCAATGGAAGATTGTTGAAGCTTTCTATAAATGAGCAGTATATACTCTCAGAATATTTATGAATGCATTCTGATTTAAATGTGAAGTATGTTGTCATACGCTCAGTTTCATGATTCCCACGTAGCAGAAATATACTTTCTGGATAGTGAGTCTTCAGCAGCAAAAGGTATAAATACACTTCACAACCAAATTGTCCCCTATCAACATAATCGCCTAGAAAAACAAGAGTGTCTTTAGATAAATCAAATTGATCCAAAATTGCCAGTAAGTCATAGAATTGACCGTGAGTATCCCCAATAATAAAGCATTTTTTATCCACAAAGATCAAATTTGATTCTTTCTTCAAGATTTCATCTGAATCCCGAAAGATTTTGAGTATTTGCATTTCAGTCAGCCTACCTTCATTTGTAAAGTGCTCCTTAACTACGTTGATGTCTATTAGGTTTCTTTTTTGATCAAGAATCGCCACATCTGGAATTTTATGGCATGCTGGTGCAGAAATTAATGGATTCGCCCTATTGAAAATAGGATTTGGATCACAATGTGGAACATAAATATTTTCATCGTTATTGACTTCAGTTATAGAAATCGCCATTAGAGGGGTTTAAGTTGTCTTTTTGAAGAGACATAAAGGGAGGTAAAGGAGAGTAGTTCCATAGTGAAGTCATATAAGTGGTTGAAATGCTATATCAACTTCTTTGTATGCTGTTTTATTAATGCTTGTTTAATTATTTAGATTATATTTAAATATCAAAAATAGCAAGGATGTTTAACTTTGTAGCCCTACTATGCAGGAGAAAATCTCTGAAATGCGTTTTTTCATTGACAATCTCGATATCTTGAACATATACAATTCCTTTGTAGAGCTCTTGAAAGAAATTGCGCCAAAAATGATCATCAGAGGTGATTTGGCCAGTGCTTTAAAAACTCAAGAAGAAGTTCAAGAACTCTGTGAAAAAATTTATAAAGAATTGGAAAATAATTTGAATGTTGAGGAGGTAAATAGCTGTTTGGTAAGATTGGAAGAGTGCCTAAATATTCTGTAATAAAGATTAATTTTTCAAAACAATGCTTCACCATAAATTCATCTTTGTGTATTATTAAAAAAATACTATAGCACCATCAAAACCTTTAGGATTCTCCTATTCAAATTATATTTTTTAGATACTGTAAATTGTTTAATGATCAAACTTTAAGCCTATCTAATTTCATTCTAAAAGTCGTATTTATAAAGCACGTGCCTTGTTTCGAAAATTTATTTTTTGTCTTTACCAACTACACAGAATCTCTATAGCAAATTCAAACAAAACATTTCCTCTGAAAAATATAAAAACTTTTATTTGCAAGGGCTTAAATGGAAATCCAAACAAACCCAGCAGCAGTTTTGCAAACGTCAAAGATAAAATGCATTATTTCGCATCCAAAGTATCCATATTTGATTGCAGGTCATTTTACTGGTGAAATTGTTCTCTATGACCCTTCAACATTGACAGTAAAAAAATCCAGCAAGGTAACAGAATCAGCCATAAGAACAGCTGTTATTCTTCCGGCAGTTGACATGATACTTGTTGGAACTGATGATGGAGAAATAGTTGTAATGGATTCTGGGTCGCTTCAAATTTTAAGACGAATTCCGGCCCATGCTGATTTTATTAGAAAAATTATAGTTGATGAGCCCAACTGTAGATTTCTATCAACATCGGATGATAACACCGTCAAGCTATGGGAATATAAGTCAAACGATTTTACAATTCTGAGCATTTACAAAGACTCCAAGCACTATGTAATGGATGCCACGTTTGATTTGAGTGACAGTTCTTTATTCTATACAGCATCTTTGGATGGCAAAATAAGGCAATATTCAATATTTCATACCAAAAGAATCAGTACATGCTTTAATAAAAATGTTGTGAAGCTTATAGGGGGAGTGAAAGCTTCTTCTTTGAGTGGATTGAATGCAATTGCATTTGTTAGCAAAGACTGCTTTGCATCTGGAAATGATGATGGAGTGGTTGATGTTTTTGATAGACTGAGGGGAATTTTAGTGAATTCATTCCAAGCCCATCTAGGGCAGGTTAATTCGATCCGACCTATTTCAGCCAACAATATCTCATATTTTATTACTGCGTCATCTGATAATTCAATAAAGATATATGATGAGCAATTCAAAACTGTTGATATAAAATATTGCAGTGGTAAGGCTTGGGATGCATGTGAGAAAAATGGAGCTATATTTGTGGGATGTGACAATGAATTGGTTTCATTCAAAATAATCCAGGAATCGACAAGAATGGTATTGAACTCTAACAAGATATTTTTTATTGATTCAGGGAAGTTGTGTATTACCAAAGTGAATGAATTGGGACACCATCGAGAAATTGGAGATATAAAATCAGATAACTTTGAACTTTCAAACAATTCCAAGTTAATTGCCATTTGTGAAAACAATACAACGATAATCTATTCAACACTAGGAATGCGAAATAAATTAGAAATCGAGTATGCAAAAAATTGCCTTTTCACAGGGAATGATTCCTTCTGTGTTTTAAATACCCAGAAATCCAGGGTAGAATATTATGAAAATTTAGAACTTGAAAGCTCATGCAATGTAGAAAGTGCATCATCTCTGCTATATTGTGACCATAGCTCCTTTGTTATAAGTGATTTTGATGAAAGTAAAACGATGCTGTATTCGAGGAATAATGGTGAATGGATTGAGCTACCATTTTGTAATTCATTAGTAAAAGTATCTGAATGTTTCCTTCTAATGGCAGATGATGCTACCATGGTCTATGATATAGAAAATTCTAAAGTTATTGAACGTCTCCCACCTGTGCTATCTTACGGCATTTGGAATGATTCAGTAATTTTCTATTCCACAGGCACTCGAACAAACTATGGAATTTTTATAAAAAATATATTTCATGTCTATAGTCACTCTTTTATTGCGAATATTTTTGCAATTTCAGATGACAAGATATTTTACAGCGAAAAGAGTAAAAAAAATATCAAAGTTTGCAGTTTTGATCAAAGGTTTATCAAATTCCAGATTGATACTTTGAACAGTTTGAAGGTGGAAGTTCCAGAGTCGCTGAAGACCAAAGCAATCGCATTTTACGAAAGTCTTCAGATGCACAATGAAGCCTTAGAAATCTGCAGCAATGATAACCAACGATTTGAAATTCTAATTAAGCTAGGGAAATTGGACGAGGCCTTCAAGATTGCATCCTCTCCTGCAAAATATAACAAATTAGGCCATGCTTATTTAAGAACATGCAGGTTTGAGCAAGCAGCTGAATGTTTTTTTAATGGAAATGATATCAAGTCACTGTTTTTAGCAGATGTTTTTGGAAAGAAAATGTACTTGGATTTTGTTGCAGAAAGAGCCAAAAGCTCTGGTGAGATGAATCTTGCACTCTTAGCATATTTTAAAGACAATAATTTTGAAGAATGTAGTAATCTTTTGGAAAATACTGTATTTTACAATTTATTTAGAAAAAATTTCTGCAATAAATGAAAATATTGAATAATTTTTATTAGAAGTTTAATATTTATGGCAACCTATCAATTTGGAAATATTATTGAGTTATTCTGGAATAGTTTAAATAAATCATCTCAATAATTTATTAGTTTGTAACTTCTTCTATCCTTTTATTACAATTAAGGGCTTTAATTTGACAACCTTTTTGGTCAATCCAGATACTTCCGAGTGGTCTACAATTTTATCGATATCCTTGTAGCATCCTCCTGCTTCTTCTATAATCCCCTTATGGCTTTGTGATCTAAAGACAATCTTTCGACTATTCATTTCTTTTTCAATACATTCGTAAGTAAAATGATCTTTTGCCTTTGATCTTGGAATTAGTCGACCTGAGCCATGGCAAGTAGAATAAAATGTCTCCTCAGTATTGTTGCTAGCCAATATATATGAGGCTGTAGCCATAGATCCACCTACAGGAATTGGCTGATGCGTAAAACTACATTTTGGATCTGATTCTACACTATGATTTGCTAATTCTTGAGAAGGGATTGCTCGAGAGGCACCTTTTCGATGGACTAGAAGAGTTGATCCTTTAATTTTTTCAATTTTTGCAATATTATGACAGCAGTCATAAAGTGTTTCGAATTTACTTGCTGGAATGAAATTTTTTATAGAGTATGAAGACAATCTAAAAATCAGTTCTCTATTTGCAAATGCATAATTTGCTGCTGAATTCATAGCAGAAAAATATCTTTGTCCATCTTTAGAGTTGAATGGGATTGCACTATTACAGAATGAGTTAGAATGAGACTTTTCGGTACTATTAGACTTCTGCAATGGTTCATTCTTATGGCCATATTCATCATTATTCTTTAAGTCTTGTGTATCGGTCTTCTTGGACTGGCTAATAAAACTATTACACACTTCATGCCCTAATCCCCTTGACCCGGTATGAATAAAAATAACAATCTGGTTCATTTTCAATCCATACTCCGAAGCAATATCATGGTCAAAAACTTTATCAACATACTGCATCTCCAAATAATGATTCCCAGATCCAAGAGTGCCAAGCAAGCTGATACCTCTGCCCTTTGCTTTTTGTGAAATTAATTTGTTGTTTCCAGGTAAGCTGCCACTTGATTCAATGCGATTACTGGAAGTGCAGTTACTATATTTATCATCACTATTCAATGTTGGAAACGTATCTAATTCGTCAAATATCCTGGCTTTGAGCCCATTATCCAATATATCGTTTAAGTCTCTTATCGAAACTGATATCTTTGAAGCTTTTGTTCCACTGGAAATGCTCTCGTTTAGTTTATCTGCAATATTTTCGAATATATTCCCAAAATACTCTGTAGAAGTACCATATACTTTGATAGAATGAGAATCTCTATCATATTCCAGATTGGATTTGATGCATCGGACACCACAATTGATATCAAATCCAACACCTTCAGGAGAAATCCACGCATCTTCTGAATCCAAATCAACAGCTATTGCTGTTCCAACCGGAAAGTAGTATCCCTGATGCATGTCCGGTAATCCTACTATTCCTTTAATTGATGGAAGGGATGAGGCATGAAGTAATTGATCAAGTGCAGATAGGTTTGCCCTTTCACCCATATCATTTTCAACTCCTGCAATCGCCTTAGATTTGCTGTTTATATCGATAAGATTTTTCTCATATTCCTGCAAAAGAATTATTTGATGCTCTTCGTCTAAAAATAGTTTGTGCCCATTGACAGATAGATATATTTTGTTAGACTTGAAAATTTCATTGCTCATCAAAGAAATTTGTTCGATGATTTTATCAATTTTGGAATTACCAGCCGAAATATCATTCAAAACCATTTATGGGTGAAATTTTGAAATGATCGAAATGAGAATAGAGCCCAAGTCAAATGTGGCAATGATCATGAAA